TCTTTAAAATATTTAGTATATAGAAGTCTTTAAAGCATTAATTAGCAACTAAAGTTTGTAATCAACTTTTTAGAATAGTTTTTTTTATTTTAAGATTTTAAGTTTATGCAAATATTAAAATTTATTGCGTATCATTTATATAAATCTTTTAATTTCTGGAATAAAAAAATATACAATGTAAGTATATATATATATAATTTGAGTAGCGATATTTTAGCCTCCTTTGGGTCATAATGTCTAATTATGTACGCAACTGTACCTATGATATACAAAATAATGAAAATGTACAAAACAATAGAAATAATGTCCTTTTTAATTGGCCTTTCTTTTTCCAATCTTCTCATTTTCATACTTGTATTATACATATTTGCTTTTCCATATCTTTTTTCCTTCAATATTGTTTAATACCTTTGGCAAATTGTTTGACTTACATACTATGTATTTTTTTTTTTGTAAATATTTGTGTTATACGATATGCAGCTTCGCTTTCTCTCTTCAATGCTAGAATATCTGATCTATTCTCACAGTGCAAAAATTGGTAATTTCTAGCAACGTGAACAAATTTTATATATTATATCTCGGTATTATGAGAAATGATTTTATGTTACGATATGTTCCAATATTTAATATTTATTAAATAATGTCCATCTTCTAAATAATATCTAAATAATATTTCAATTTGTTATTGAGTTTACGACAATAACATATATTCGCGGATTTTATATATAATTTTATATATCTATAAAATATTTTCAAAATTGGAATGAGATCTGTGAGAGATCTTTACGATTATTAAGAAAATTAATAGATAAAAAAGGTACATTTTCTTAATACTTATAAAAATCTTTCAAAGATTTCATATATATTTTGATTATTGAATTATTCTTATATTGCAACGATGTCCAAATTTTGCTTTAAAGTTGTGAAAGAATACGAATGAAAGATTTCGTTTGTGAGCGCTCGCTGTTTTTGTATTTTTTTAATCTAAATTTGATTGGATGATCTAAAAGAAGCAATAATAGTGAGCGCTTACTCAACTGACAAGTCCGCTAAATACATCCAATGACTGTGTTCAGAAGAATGTTTATTTTACAAGTGTTAGAAGTTTTCTTTGCGCTGATTGGATTGTACTTTTAGATCTAGAAGAATGATCCTATTAGCAGATATAATATACGATTATAAAACGATTGCAAAATTGTTATGTTCTGCTGAACGCAGCCAATGTTAGCGCATGTCGAAACTTGTCTAAAAAAATACTTGAGTCTTCAGGTCTTTGTCGCTAACTAAAATGTTTTATTCTATCGTTTGTCTTCAAACTTCAAATATATATCTATTTTAAATATAACAAATATACACTAGTTCAACTAGAAAGAACAAACCTTTTATATATAATGTGTTCATTAATTTGTAGGATTGTCCACGCTATTCGCTAATTTAATATAATGAGAATAAACATTTCGCAATTTAGCATCATATTTATTATGTACACTATAAATATAATTTCTGTATTGAACAGAAAGTGGAAGAGAGATTCGTCGTATTTACACGGATACGCGATAAAATTGGCAGCTCATAAATAACAATAACTTAAATCACATGTCAGCAGGCACAGAGCAGATATGCTTCAGCTCTAACACCATGGGTAAATTTCATTTTATCTGTTGATATTCTCGTTTAATTTATCACTCTTAAAATCATGTGTCATTTAAGCTTAGTTTAACTTTTCTTTAAAATTGGAATTATCAATAAATAATAATATCGAGTATAAATAATATCAACACTCTTTGGTTTCAAAAATACTTCAGATGCGACTTGAAATTAGTTTTCAATTATTTTCTAGTACATCATCATTTTCTATTTCATTATCTTCTAGAATAATTGTATTGTGCCTTTCTGTAAATAATGTCTCTTGACTCAGTGCAGGAACTTGTCGAGAAAATTCGCTAGTCGCCCATAAAAATAAATCCAATGTCTGCTCTGTGCATTCTGCTATGAATCTCACAAACGGTCGAACATCTCCGGCGTTGGCTAGTTGCAAGTACTCATAATATTTATGGCGATGTTGTTTGTGAATAATAACGGGAGGATATCCAGCTTGCATGAGAATCATATTCATGAGCAGGCGGGATGTTCTGCCGTTTCCATCAGTGAACGGATGTATGTGCACCAGTTTATAATGCGCGAGAGCTGCATATCTATAAATTTTTCCGATTAATACCTATTTGTTGAATCTTATCACAAAATCTCAGATAAAAATACAATAAGAAAATATATGAAATTCGCATACCTCACTGGATGCATTCTTATGGCTTGTTCACTGTTCAACCATAATACAAACTCCTCCATCAAATAATGTATATTGCCAGGACCTGGAGGTATATGGCCGCCAACGTATACTTGAGTTCTTCGAAATTGACCACCTTCGACAGGATCTACATGTCCAAGCACACGCCTATGTATTTCCAGTACATCTTTTATAGAAATGGACCCTACTCTGAAATATATTTACATGGATAATAAATAATAAACTAATAGAAAATATTTTTATCGCTTATGCAAATTATTACTTTATGAATTTACCTGTTAACCAAGGTCGCATTGATATATTTCATGGCAGCATCCAATCCAAGGATTTCATTATGTTCATCAATACTCTTTCCAGAGACCGCGACACGTGTTTCAACTATAGCTCTCGTTTGTGCAAGATTCATGGTATTTCCCTCGATCCCGACTGTATGATAGATATGTTGGAAGTAAGCCTCTTTTTTAGCGCGTATCAATGCAGCATTGTTATCAGGTATGTTGGATAATGTATTTCTCTTGTCATCAATTCGCCTAAGCATTATTCTGTCATGTTCTTCAACCACACGAGCTGTCCTCTGACTATTTATTAAAGCACCTTCGTGATTTGGTTTATAAGTTAAAGCACGCACGTAAAATTCATTAGCTTTTATCACATTGTTCTGGGTATGCTCCAAAAACTCTCCATAATGATTTAAAACATCTGGATGACAAGGTGCTAATGCCACTGCATGTTGAAACAATTTTATAGCTTTCTCCTGCTTTCCAGATAATCTCATATCTAGAGCTAAGTGCAAAGATGCCAGGGCCTCCGTTATCGACGCCGCACTACACTGAACCTTACCAAGTTCAGTGTTGGGTTGTGAAATGGTGAGTGTATGATCATCATAGACATTCAAAATACTTTCTGAAGAAAGCGGCACAAACACAGAACGACCATGATAAAATTCCTGTTCTAGAAAAAGACAACAGAATAAATTATTTATGATATTAACTGTATTTAAATCACAGCTTACAAATTATAGTATAATTAACTGCAAGACAAGAGATATCTTATGGTACTTTCCAGCAAGAGATACAGTGTAACACGGTAATCAACGGTTTCATCTTTGTTCAACGTTGACAAAAAACAAGGATGTAACGAGTACTTTTCATTCAGTGACACAAGTCGAACATTATTCTATCTTTCTTAACATTCAATGTCTCTTGTATCAACTTGTGATATCAAATGAAAAGCATCCAATAATTCAGTATGTTACCATGTATCATCTAGCTGCTGTCCTTTTACTAGACAGTCAACATAAACGTCATTCTGTTCTTCTGCCATTCAAAAAAATGAAACAGCTCTTGCTGCAAGTTGCCAGAAACGGTAGGCAACATAAAGTGTACAATCTTTCGTTGAAAGAGTAGATATATCAGTTGCAATTCACCTGTGGAATCGGTGGACAGGCCGCCTAGGTATTTCGATAGTAACGTACTGATGACAGCGATAACAATTCCAAGAATGAAAACAGGAATGAAGAGTTTCGGTGTCATACCGCTCGTGGGATCCGTGGGGTTCGTGGCATCCCCGCGTTTCACGTTCACGTGAGAGGTCTTCCCATTATGTACGTAATAATCGTAAAAGCATGCCGGCAGCATCTCTCCTCGCGGCAGTTTTTCACAGTCTTACTTCGGACAGCAAAGCGTGGCATGCTTGTCAATCGTGTCACACGTTCATGTGACGCAACGCGTCGCGCTCGTATCGGATCGTCTCGGTCTCTCTCGCCGACGACACCAGACGACACCAGCCGAAGTGATGCGTCCATGTGGTTCGACCTGATTGGCCGGCGCCCGAGCGTTCCACTAACCGCGCGCGCCATTGGCTCTCGCGTTCCGCGTTCCGTCATTTCGCGAGTTTATCGTTCTCTCATCTCGCCTAATATCTTAAAAAACCGTGACGTTTTTGAAAAGTTTATTGCAACATTCGCACGTTCGAGATTCACAATACGACGCTTTTCTACTGACAGTTACGTCGGTAATTTTCGCTCGACCGTCGATTGTATTTATCGATCGACGTGCGACTTATTTCAAACGTTCGGTAGTTCTTTCTTTCCCCCCACTCCTTTACCCTCCCCTTCGATACCCAAACCATCAGTTTGAAATTGAGCGATTAGGTGTGACTCGTGTAACACGGAACGCGGCGACGTTTGCCGCGGAAATTGGCGCGGTAGCTAATCAATTTACCGCTTTTCCACAAAAGCGAAAGAATGATTAGTCATAGCTGATTTAATTAATTAGCTATAGCGCCAATTTCCGCAGCGCGGCAAGTGGCGCGTCGTCGCGTCCCTTGTGAGGGAGTCATAAGTTAGTTTTCGGTATGTCCCGCGCGCGCTTGTCGAACGTCTTCTCTTCGGAGTGTAAGTATATCGTCGAATTCAAAATATGGGGTTTGTATGATTATTATTATAACTGAAATGCGCTAAAGTCTATGCACATTTATTGCAGCTCGAGCGAGGAGCGCGGTGTGCGGGCGCGTTTTATATCGTATTTCGCGAACGAGGAAATTTGGCGCGCGGCCATTCAAGATGACTGCTCATTCC